GTGTCCTTTAAAGATTTTTAAAGATTAGAAAACAAAAAGAGTAAGAAGTGGGCAATTCAGGACTGTAGGGTAGATGCCTAATGATTTCTCAAGGAAACTCGTGCAAAGTTGCCCATGTTTGATGAGAGAAATGAACAGGTGCATTGTTGTGGTGGAAGAGGATTCTGATGAATCTTTCCTGGGTGTTTTTTTGCTAAAGCTTTGGCTAACTTTCTGAAAACACTGTCATCATAAGCAGATGGGATTGTTCTTTGGCTCTCCAGAAAGTCAATGAGCAAAATGCCTTGAACAGTCCAAAAACGTGTTGCCATGAACTTTGCTTTTGACCAGTCCACTTTTGTTTTGACTGGGCCACTTCCATCTCTAGGTAGCCTTGGCTTTGATTGTGCTTTGTCTTCAGGATTGTATTGGTAAAGCCATGTTTCAGCTCTTGTTACAGTTCTTTGAAGAAATGCTTCAGGATCTTGATCCCACTTTTTAAAAATTTTCATTGAAAGCTTTGCTCTTGTCTGCAGCTAATCTGAGTGCAAGAGTTTTTGTACCCATTGAGTGGAAAGTTTGCTCAACTGTAATTTTTCAGTCAGAATTGTATAAGCTGAACCAATTGAGATGTGTGTGGTGTTGATTATTGTTTCTGCTGTAGTTGTCAGTCCTCTTCAATTAGAGCACAAGCAAGGTTAATTTTTTCCTTTCAAATTGATGTGGATGGTCTGTTGCTGCAGGCCTTATCTTCAACTATCATCTCACCCTTCTTAAAACAAGTTATCATATGTAAACTGCTGATTTCTTTGGGGCATTGTCTTCATAAACTTTTTGTAAAGCATCAGTGATTTCACCAGTCTTCATAAATTTGATGTGCTTCAATTTTTTTCTAAGTTTATTTATTAATATTACTATTTTCTTTTTTTTACATTCTATGATGTTGTGGAGTGTTGGGGCGAGGGGGATAGGGGGAAGGGAACGAAAATAGGGTGGGAGAAGGTGGAAGGAGGAGGGGTGGGGTTGTGGCCTATGGCATCCCCCTCATTCCTACATGGGAGACCAGGGGGCTTCCAGCAGTGGCTTGGTCATTGCTAGGCTGGGTGCAGATGTCAGAGGGGTGTGGCTGAAGCCCTCGTCTCCCACTGCCCCAACTTGGGAGCCTAGGGCACTTCCAGTGGTGGCTCAGTGGGATGGTTGTGCGTGTCAGTGGGGCATGGCTGAGGCCCTCAGCCCACCTCCCTCAGGACTGGTTGCAGGTGTTGGGGGCAGGCATGGCTGAGGCCCCCAGCCCTCCCTGATCCCTGGCTTGGTAGCTCAGGGGACTACCACTCCTTTTAGGTTTTATAGATGTTCTTTGGTCATGAGAGACCTTTACTAGTTAATATCAAACTTTGCCTCTGGTATGTGGGTATTTTGTTTTTTCTTTCAGTTCTGTATTGGATTATTTGCTGTTCCCACCACTTTAACTCTGCCCTGGAACTAATTTGTTGTCCTTTGCTTACTTTTAAAATGGGGGAACTTCCCGTGGGGACAATTACTTGAGCTGTGTGGTTGAGCTAAATTGTTGCTTTGCTGCTGATTCCCTGGGGAAGGCTT